TAGCCGGAATTACAGGCATGCACTACCACGCCTGGCTGATTTTTTTTTTTTTTTATTGTAGAGATGAGGTCTTGCAGCCCAGGCGGGTCTCGAACCCGTAGGCTCAGGCAATCCACTCACCTCAGCCTCCCAAAGGCGGGATTACAGGCTGAGCCACCGAGCCCGGCTTGCCTTTCTTTATTTTATGAGACAAAATAAAAAACTTTACAGTCTGATTGGGAGAAAGGGTGTGTTTTTACCTTTTGGTTTATAAGTGCAGAGACATCTTTATAGATGTTAAAATACCTGTACTACTCAGCCTGCATATGGATAGTGTGGCATAATATGGAAATTGAGCTCTTAATTACAAAACCAAATTTACCTCTTATTGTGAGTTAGTCTTTACTATTTGAAATCTAAAATAATTTTAAGTTATTGCCTTAAAGTGAAGCTTAGCTCTCTTGGTCCAATATATGTATTAAATATGTGTCCCTGTTTAGATAGCTTCATATTTGTATATCCCTTAATTTTATTTGCTAGTTACATTTATTTAAAAGTAACTTTTTTAAAATCTGGGATTTTTATTTGAGCAAAATATAAGATAACACATCACTGTGTATACATTGTGTCTTACAAAAAAGGCACAATTCAAGGTAGGGAGGCAGAGAGGAAGTAAAGGAAAGCCTACCAGAATGCTACTTAAGTTGTCTTGAAGGATGAATGTAAGAGGCGTGTAGGGGTGTGTGTGTGTGTGTGTGTGTGTGTGTGTGTGTGTGTGTGTGTGTGTGTGTAAAAGGATGAATGGATAGTGAGCAGGACACAGTAAAAGTGGTATCTCTTAGATTCCTTTGAATACACATAAGTCTTTTGAACCCTGTGTATAAACAGTGTCACATTTGGTGAACCTACTGTTGATGACAAAAGGGAAGGGCTGACATCCTTGCAGATTTATGGAGTATATTCTGAGTGAGGGCAAATTCTATCATGGCAAGTCTCCATTCCTGATGTCATTTGACCAAACTCAATAAGTTTAATCTTTAAATAGCCTCCCAATTAAAATTATTTTCCTTAATAGACACAAATGCCAAGGCCCCACTTAACTGGTGTTGGACTCATCAGAAGGTCCACTTCTGCTGTCCGTCTTTTTGGAAAGTGCCCCTCTCTGATCCATCCCCTTGTGTATTTAGCTGGAGGATCAGCTCCATAGGGTCATAGATGGGCTGAACATTCTCTCCTTCATGCATTTGCCATACTTCTTGAAGACAGAAATTTTATTAAAACATATGCTGACTAAGCTTGAGCCCATGTGCAAATCAGCATGAGATAAGGTAAACTATTTTATTTTGGTGCTGGAAGATTTTTCTACACCAGTTTTGCTTCATCTTCTGCATTTGGACTATAAGTCACATGTTGAATGATTATCACTTTCTTCCTTGTAAGCTGCATTTTGCCTTCTCTCATTTTTTTTTTAAAGATGTGGGGTGTAATTCAGGATTAGGTATACATATGGACATCGTACAGGTAAATTTTGGGCCTCCCTTTGGTCCCCACTTTGGCTGGTTTGAAATCAGATACCCTTGTTGATGTTGTGTCCCCCTTCCGGCAGTATCCCGCTATTGCCAATTCCTTTTAAAAGTTACAATTTTAGTTTTTTACTTTTACTTTGAAATACATAGGATAAAATTATATTTTCATGAGCTTTCAGCATTTTAAGAGATATATTCATTTCTTTTGAAGAAGTACTATTTTCTACTGAAAACGTAAATCTCTTTGGGACTACTTAATTGATTTATCCTTATTTATTTTACCAGAAATGTGTATCTCATGTCCAAGTGGACAGCAGAGAACTTGATCGAAGAAAGACATTGCAAGTTACAATGCCTGTCAAACCTGCAAATGATAATGATGAATTTGAAAAGCAAAGAACTGCTGCTATTGCAGAAGTTGCAAAGAGCAAAGAAGTAAGAAATTAAATCATTACAAATTTCTCTTATTTCTTATCATTATGTTCTATTTAGATTACTCATGTTCATTATTGTCTTTTCACATATGATAACCAATTCATCAAAGCCTTGGCATTATTCTTCCTGCATATTCCATAAGTAGAAAATGCCTTACTGTTTTATGGGTTCTTAATTTAATATATTTTATTTATATGTTCTTTTTCCAAATTTCCACAGTAGTTACTGTTGTTAGCAAATTACCCTTCTTTTCTCCCTTTTTCTTTTCTTCATAACAGTGTGCCAACTGAACACAATACTCCTTATTCTGACAGAGGGTTTCCTGTTAGTATTTGGGCTAGTTGCCACTTTTTCAGGTTAGTTTTCCCTTATAATAGTAACTTATGAGAAATAGCAGAGGTTAAATCTGTGGGCATTTTTGTCAGCTTTTATTTTTAGTTTGTATTCTTAATTCTATTTAATATATAGTAAAAAATAATTTTTTTTTTTTTTTTTGAGTTGGAGTTTCACTCTGTCGCCCAGACTGGAGTGCAGTGGCTGCTCCTGGCCACCGCAGCCTCGTCCTGCTGGGCTCAGGCGATCCTTCCGCCTCAGCCTTCCAAGTAGCTGGAACTACAGGTGCACGCTGCCACACCTGGCTAGTTTTTTTTATTTATTGTAGAGATGAGGTCTCGCCAAGTTGCCCAGGCGCGTCTCGAACCCGTGGGCTCAGGCAATCCACTCACCTCGGCCTCCCAGAGTGCTGGGATTACAGGCTGAGCCACCGAACCCGGCCGTAAAAAATAATTTTTATCTTTAGATTATATGTGTATTTACACACACAAAATTCTCCTTATTTTAGATTGACAAATGTGAATATGGGGTACATGCGATATTTTGATACAAGTATGCAAGGTGTAATGATCAAATTAGGGTAATTACCATATCTGTTATCTCAAACATTTATAATTTCTTTATTCTGGGAATATTCATAATTTTCTATCTGGCTATTTTGAAATATATAATACTTTTTTCTTTTGAGTTGGAGTCTCACTCTGTCACCCAGGCTGGAGTGCAGTGGCTGCTCCCAGCCACCACAGCCTCGACCTGCTGGGCTCCAGCGATCCTTCTGCCTCAGCCTTCCGAGTAGCTCGAACTACAGGTGCATGCTACCACACCCGGCTAATTTTTGATTTATTGTAGAGATGAGGTCTCACCAAGTTGCCCAGGCGGGTCTCGAACCCCTGGACTCAGGCAATCCACTCACCTCAGCCTCCCAAAGTGCAGGATTACTGGCTGAGCCACCGAACCCGGCTTATAATACATTATTTTAAATACTGTATTTATACTCACATAGTGTAAATATACTCACATATTATGTTACAGAATATTTTTCCTATCTAACTGTATTTTTGTATTCATTAATCAACCTCTTTCATCTCTCCTCCCATTCCTACTCTCTGGTATAACTACTATTCTCTTCTGCGAGGTCAGTATTTTTAGCTCCCACATATGAGTGAGAACATACAGTATTTGTCTTTCTGTGTCTTGTTTATCTCATTTAACATAGTGTCGTTCAGGCTCATCCACATTGCTGCAGATGACAAGATTTCATTCTTTTTTTTAATGGCTGAATCATTCCACAGTTCTCTGTATTTGTGGATTCAACTCTGCATCTGTAGATTTAGCCAGTGGTGAATCAAACACACCCAGCGGTTAAAAAAAAATGGATGATTGCATCTGTACTGAGCATGTGAGACTTTTTTTCTTGTCATTATTTCCTAAACAATACAATAGCTGTTTACATAGCATTTAGTAGGTATTAAAAGGTAACCTAGAGGCAATTAGGTATTATAAGTAATCTAGAGATAATTTATACGGGAGGATGTATGTGGTTTATTTGCAAGTATTATACCATTTTATATAAGGGACTTGAGCACTGGCGAATTTTGATTTGGAAGGAGGGCTCTTAGGCACAATGCTCCACGGATACCAAGGGATGACTGAATACCGTATTGTCTTTATCCCTTCATCTGTTGGTAGGTACATGAGTTGCTTTCGTAGCTTGGCTGTTGTCCATAGTACTGCAACAAGCATAAGAATGCAGATATGACCTACAGATTTATTTTCCTTTGGGTATATACCCAGTAGTGGGATTGTTGGATCATATGATATTTCTATTTTTAGTTTTTTGGGAACCTCCATATTGTTTTCCATAATGGCTGTACTAATTTACATTACAACCTACGGTATGTAAGAGCTCCCCTTTCCCCATCTCCTTGCCCCAGTATTTGTTATTTTTTTGGTCTTTTTGATTATAGCTGTTTTAATTGGGGTTACATGTGGCTTTGATTTACATTTTTCTGTTGATTAGTGATGTTGAGGCTTTTTTTCATATACCTGTTGGTCATTTATATATTTTCTTTGAGAAATATCTATTCAGATCATTTACCCATTTTGAATTGGAATTTTTAAAAAAATTTTTGCTTGTTGGTTGGTTAAGTTCCTTATATACTCTGGATATTAATCCTTTGTCAGATGGATAGTTTTCACATATTTTCTTTCATTCTGTAGATTGTCTGTTCCTTCTGTTGTTTCCTTTGCTTTGTAAAAGTGTTTTAGTTTGATAGAATCCCATTTGTCTTCTTTTACTTTTCTTACCGATGCTTTTGAGATCTTATACAAAAAATCTTTGCCCAAACCAGTGTTCTGAAACAACAAACCCTCTCTCTTTTTTTTTTTTTTTTTTGAGTTGGAGTCTCACTCTGTCACCCAGACTGTCAAACCCTCTCTCTTATACTATTGATAGCCAGTGTTTCTGTTTTAATTTTATATTTTTGATTATTTATAACAGATTTTTTAGTTATGTATTGGTTTTTTAGACTTTTTTTTTTTTTTTTTTACTCTTTTTTCCAGGCTGGAGTATATGGTACTGTCAAGGCTCACTGCAGCCAAGAATTCCTGGGCTCAAGTGATCCTTCTGCCTCAGCATCTCGAGTAGCTGGAACTACAGGCATACTCCACCTTACCTGGCTCATTTTGTTGTTGTTGTTGTTATTTCTTTGTAGAGACAAGGTATTATTATGTTGCCTAGGTTGGTGTCGAACTCCTGGACTCAAGTAATGCTCTCACTTTGGCCTGTCAAGGTACTTACTGGGTTTACACGTCTGAGTAACCACACATGGCTAGATTTTTTTAGACTTTGATAAGATATTTTAGATCATTGATTAGTTGCTAGAGGAGCGTTTCTTAACCACAGAGATTGAAATAGTTTCTGTTATTCAGAACTTGTAACAAAACTTACCTAACAACTGCTTTCTTATTAAATTTTGAATTTTAAGTAGTAGACTTTTTGAATTTTGGTTGTTTTTTCTGCAGTGTCTTTCTATCATCAGTCTAGTGTTAGGGGCCAAAAGCACGAGCTTTGGAATCAGCCTGGGAGCATATCCTGCTGACAGCCTGGGATGGTTACTTAGCTTCATTTATGAAACTCAGGAATAATAATGGTCCTGTGGCCAGGCTTGGTGGCTCAGCCTGTAATCCCACGCTATGGGAGGCCAAGGTGAGTAGATTGCCTGAGCCCGCGGGTTTGAGACCTGCCTGGGCAAGTTGGCGAGATCTCGTCTCTACAATAAATAAAAAAAAATTAGCCGGGCGTGGTAGCATGTGCCTGTAGTTCCAGCTACTGGAAGGCTGAGCAGAAGTATCGTCGGAGCCCAGCAGGTCGAGGCTGTGGTGGCCGGGAGCGAGCCACTGCACCTCCAGTCTGGGCGACAGAGTGAGACTTCAACTCAGAAAAAAAAGAAAATAAAAAAATAATGATCCTGCTTCATATGTGAGAATTAAAATTGATACTCTTTAAAACCTACTACTGCCAGGCTCGGTGGCTCAGCCTGTAATTCCGCATCTTTGGGAGGCTGAGGTGAGTGGATTGCCTGAGTCCGCGGGTTCGAGACCCGCTTGGGCAGTGAGACCTCATCTCTACAATAAACCAAAAAAAATCAGCCGGGCATGGTAGTGCATGCCTGTAATTCTGGCTACTTGGAAGGCTGAGGTGGAAGGATCGCTGGAGCCCAGCAGGCGAGGCTGCGGTGGCCGGGAGTGGCCCCTGCACTCCAGTCTGAGTGACAGAGTGAGACTACAACTCCAAAAAAAAAAAAAACTACTACTGCTACTTGGCATAGATCATGGCACTCTTTTGCTTAAAACTCTCATTAAGCATGACTACTGCTATTCTTTAGTTTTTTCCTCTATTCTATGGCATCTTAACCATTTCTTAAATTAATGTATCTTACATAGTTTACATGAAATATATTTATTTTTTTCCCAAAAGATATGAAAATTACAGAGTTTCAGAAAAAAGATATTGGAAATATATACATTTCTTAATGATTATAGAAAAATTTTATTTTTATTTACATTTCTGTCAAACTTTCAAGGATTTTGTTTGATGTGGTTACAGCTGTTTACTGGAGTTATAATGTGCTGCTTTTTTGGAAGTCACAATTGTTACTATAAATGTTTGATAATTTAACAGTTATCAGTTTTAGAACTGTTATCAGTTTTGGAACTGAAACAGACATAAAAACTTCTCAGTTTATATTTGAGAGAGTTGATGGAGGCTCAAAAGTAACAAACTTGGGACTTGTCTAAAGTTACCCAGTAATAATGCTCGACCAAATTTATGTGTAAATAGATGATCTATATCATAATAATAGTATATATCATGTATATCATATTAATCATATATAAACCACAATTTTTAATTTACTTTTTGTAAAGTTACTTTTACTTTTATAAATTAAAAATTGTGATTTTTATATATTGTAGTCTGTTTAGACTTCAAATAGTTAGATTTGACCCAAGACTTGAAGGAGGTAAGAGAATTAGCTGCTTGGTTATCTGAGGAAGAGTGTTCCAGGGAGAAAGAAAAGGTATGGCAAAGGCTCTGAAGCAGAAGCATATGTTCAAGGAATAGCAAAGCCGCCTGTGGAAGCACAAAGAGCAAAGTAGCTAGTGGTAGAAGATAGTCAAGAGAGATGATGAGGTTAGCTTATGTGAGCCCTGTAAGCCATTGTAAAGATATTGGGCCTTATTTGGAGAGAAACGGGGAGCCTTTAGGGTGTTTTGAGCACAGAACATCAGCTGACCTATATTTTAAAAGGCTAATTCTGACTGCTTTGTTTAAACTAGGTTGTAGAGAAGGAAAATTGGAATCAGACAAGTTAGGAGATTATTTAAGTAATCTAGAAAAAAAATGATGGTGGCTTGGAGAAATGTAGCAGCTGTGTAGGTGGTACAGAGTAGTTAGATTCTGGAATTTTGAAAGTAGAGCCATCAGAGTTTCTGAGATTGGACGTAGAGTGTAAGAGAAGAAAAGGTATCAAAAGTGAATCTAAGTGTTTTACCTGGAGAAATTGGTAGATTAATCGCTTATCTTGAAATGGAGCAGATGTGGGGGCAGAAGATCTGGCGTTCTATTTTGAACATGTGAATATTGAGATGTCTATCAGCTGTGCATGGAGTAATGGTTACTAGGCAGTAGTACTGAGGAGTGAGCTTTGGTATGGAAACATGTGTTTGAGAGTTTAGGCATATGGATGGTGTTTAAAATTATGAGCCCAGGTGAGATCATCAAAGAAGTGAGTGTTGATAGAGAACAGAAAAAGGTGAGAAATAACCCCTGTAGCAGTTTAACCTTAGAGGTTAGATGGAAAAAGTTGAACTTGCCAAGGAGTGACTAGTAATAGAGGATAAAAATGAGAATACAGAAAATGTTTCATGGAGAAGGGAGCGTTAAACTTACCAAAGGCAACTGAAAAGTCATATAAGGTGAGGACTGAGAGTTAATATAGAATTGAAAATGTTCTTTATTGCCTCCACATTCCTCTTAACATTTATATGGTGGGTGTTAAGATAAAATATATGGTGTTAAGATACGTATAACTGTGCATGTAACAACCAGTGTGTGGGTAGATGTGGTGAAATCTATGTACATTCTTTGGTGATTATTTCAATTTTGTGGTTTTTTTTAGTAAGGAAATAAGCGAGGTCAGTAACAACATGGGGGAGAAGATGTTAGAGGTTTAAGCAGTGAGGAAAACATATACAACAATGGTCTAGGAGATTGGGCATATGAATGGCTAGGAAATACAGTAAGATTGGTAGGCTAGTGCCTGCTTTACTTGCACAGTCATGATAGTCTCACAGGATGCCCAATTCACGTCACTTGAGCAAGATTGTGGCTCATGAAGGGCAGTGCTATTGCCTTATGGGTAGTATTTAAATTGTGATGGTTCCAGGTATTTATATCTTTAGTGAGTAAAAGCTGTTTTATAGCAGTGAAAAGCAATTCTGAAAAATCCTACTTACCTATTTCTTAATCCATAAAATGGAAAGAAAATAATAAGGAATTGCATCCAAAAGATGGGACTATTTCACTGGCACCAAAAGAAAAAGTGCTTTTGGATTTATGGAATGTAAATTCTGAAAATATATTTAATTTGGAACAGGTCAATCAAGCTCCGGACTTTCCAGGTAACTGTGTTCTAGTATATTGACCAAAATAGTAATTGCCACCTGTTATTGAGGTTTGCCATATGCCAGTTATTGGGATAGCCACTTCACATCAGTGATATCATTTGATCCTCCCAGTATCCCAGTGAGGTAGGTTTTCTCATCCTTGTTTTAAGGATGAAAATCCTGAGGCTTTATTGAAAGTTAAGTAACATGCTTGAAGGCAGGAGCTAGTAGATGGTGGGGCTAAGATGAGTCCCAGTCTTGTCTAGCTACAAAGCCTGTGTTCTTGACTGTGTGTTCTATACTATGTTGCCTCCCAGTCCAATTCTGTATCACATTAATATTAATATACTTTTTAATCATTACACAAGTATATGACTTTCAGATACATTTCAAATACATTTTTTGCTGGGATTCCATAAACCAAAAATTGAATGAATTCAGTAAGTGATCATTGAAGATGTGATTTTAATTTTGATTTTAATTAAATTTAAGTGTTGTAGTGTACCAGCTACCTAGTAGAGATACTTCATGTCATCCATTAGTGCTCATCTAACATCCTTTTTCTGCTTTTCAGTTCTATTTTCATTTGATTTAAAATAATTTCTCAATGTTATATACATCTATATACATCTAAAATATTTTCTTATTGTAATCATTTTAAAACACATTAGAATATTGGTTATTATCTCTAATAAAAGTCAAGTTTTAGCTTCTTCCTCTTTTGTTAGATCTGTTAAACTATAAAAATACTGTATAACTAGATGTTCAATTTAATATTAAACAAATAACTCTGGGATGCTTTTCAATTATGAACTTGTATCTTTCTAAACAAATATGATTAATGTAAATTATAAATTTACATTAACTTATAAATTAGTAATGAGAGTTTAATCCAGGGTTCAAATTTATATTACTTCTTTTCTTTTTTTTAGTAGAAACAGGGTCTTGTTATGTTGCCTAGGCTGTTTTGAATTCCTGTTTTCAAGAGATCCTCTGTCCCAGCCTCCCAAAGTGCTGGAATTGTGGGCATGAGCCACCACACCCAGCCTATTTTTTAAAAAAAATCTAAGATTATAGAATCATATTACTGGACCATGGGCATAATTAAACTGATCTTTAGACAAGTTTAGTGCCTTGCTAAAGATAACCTTGCCTGGTAGGTAGATTGAGAATCCAGGTCTCAAAATATCAGTCAAGCATTTTACCATACAATCATATTGACAACTAATATCCATAATGCTTGTACTATTTTAACTTCTTCTATATTTCTGTGCACTTAAGTTTATTTTGATGACTTGCCTTAAAGAGACTTAAAGATTATAATCATGTAGTTTTTTTTTACTGCCTGACCTGGACTTATGAAAATAATAGATTATGGCCTGTAGATATTTGTGCTGTTTAAAAGGAATAAGTTATTTCATTTTTTTCATGTAAAAGTTAAGAAACTTTTACTTCAGTTTTGCTGGATATCTTTAGTCATATCTAAGTTTTTAGAGAAATTTTAAGTAATGTTTGCTTACATCTCTTTTGTTTTTCTCTTATCAAAAGACCAAGACGTTTGGAGGAGGAGGTGGTGGTGCTAGAAGTAATCTCAATATGAGTGCTGCTGGTAACCGAAATAGGGAAGTTTTACAGAAAGAAAAGCCAACCAAATCAGAGGGGAAACATGAAGGTGTTTATAGAGAACTGGTAAGGTTAAGTAATCAACCACAAATTTAAGGTGTTCTTCCTTTAATAGTCTCAGTGATTCTTTTATTTTTTTCTCACAACCACTACTGGCTTTGATCAGTATATTGTGGATAGATGTTACAACTCTAAGAATCCTTTTATTAAGAATTGCAGTTAACTCATGAAAAATTTGGATCGTTGGAATACTAATTTATTTAAAACTTCTTATTTCACTTAAATTACTAATGTCTGAACAATGTCTTGTGGAATGGATTGATAACAAGCCATCAAAAGATGATGTATCAGAAACATCGTTTTCTGTCCTCCCCTTTCCCTGCATCTTTTCTCAAATTTTGTCTAAAGTGATTTTATTTTGTTTTTTGTTGTTCTTTGGAAAGTATATATTAACACAAAACACATGCATATTATGAACGCAATTGCAAAATGTACCTTAATTTTGAAGATAGATGAGAGGAGTCAAAGATATTTCTGGAAGGCTGCAGTGTCCGTAGATCTAAGGAAGTTGGCAAGAATTCATTTTTCTCTGCCTTTAGAGGTTGAATTTCTTTGATTTTGTCTGTAGGGTATAAAAATACCCAAGAATAGCTTAAAACCATGGAGTTTAGTATCTCATACTACAAGAAATCCAGAGGTAAGTGGTTGCAAAGGTTGCAAATTTAGCAGCATAACAAAGTTTGGCAAATTAGCAGCATAACAGTATTAGAGCTTTTGTGAGTATTTGCCTGTGTTGTTTATGCAGAATATTCAAGACAGGAAAGAAAGGGGGACATTCCTCTTGGTGTAGGTCTGTTTATCACTATGGATCAGGTTACCTCTTCCTTGAACATATGGCCATCTCATTCTTTATATATACGAGAGAGACCTAAAAAAAAAAAACCTGGAATTGTTTTTTGGAGGGGGACACCTTATACAGGCTTCCCCCACTAAGGTTGTTTTCTGTGAACCCATTGGTATCAGTGTACCACCTAGCATTGCTGTAAGAGGCTGCATTCAGCTTCAGTGAATTTTTTTTTTTTTGGAGATTCTTTCAGTGCATTTGCCCATTTCATGATGGGTGATTTACAAGCCCACCTGCCCACAGTGTGCTGAGTGTTCAGCAGTTTTTTACTGCAAGTGACATGACTCTTTTGCCCCATACTTCCTATTCACCTGATCTTACCCCAGATGACATTTTTTGTTTCCCCTAATGAAGAGAGTTCTCTAAGGGAAATGTTCTGCCAGTGTGCAAGAGGTGAAACAAACTGGTAGAAGCACTAAAAGGCATCAAAATTGGCAAGTTCAAAAACTGTTTTGAGCAGTGGAAAAGACATGTCAGTAGGTGTATTGCATCAAACGGAGAGCATTTTGAAGGTGACTGAAGTTTAAACATGTAAGGATAAATGCACAATTTTTTACAAATAAATTCAGGTTTTTTTGAGGTTCCGCCCTCTTGTATAAAGGTCTTTGTATCATAGATATAAAAGGTTTAAAAATAGCCAGGGGGAGTTGATACAGTAAGCTGAAAAAGACATGGTCTCTAACTTAAGAAGCTCTTAAACTTGAGTAAATTGAAAACACTTCTCTAGGGATGTCTTGACAAAGATTACCAGAGGATTAGAAGACTGAGATTGTTGAGAGGATGAAAAACATAAGAAGGGAGTTACATTACAACGATGGTGGAGTGAGTGGAAAGCTCCAGGAATTGGTCCCTCCACTGAAACAACCATTTGGCTGGCAAACACTGAAGTACCTATTTTAGAAGTGTGGGGCTTAGCTGAATGCTTGTAGGTAATGAATGATGAAGAAGTAGACTGGTCACTGGCTTACCACAGAGATGATGACATAACAGATGTCGCGCATCACAAGGAGTATGTTTCTTGCAAAAAAAAGTTCGGAAAAGTCACTAAACAACTGATAATGGTAGCCTTCATCAGGTAACAACAGCAATCCTTGGGGAGAAGGGAGAACGGATTCCCAATTGCCAAATTACAGTATTCAAAATGTCCAGTTCTGAACAAAAAATTACAAAACATACAAAGAAAAGAAAAGTTTGACCCATTCACAAGAACAAAAGAAATCCACAGAAACTATCCCTGAAGAAATTCAGACATCGGACTTACTAGAAACAGACTTCAACTGTCCTAAATGTCTTAAATTTGTTAAGGACACCATTGACAAAGAACAACAGGAAATCAGGAAAACTATGAACAAGTAGGTAATATTGATAAGGAAGTAGAAATTACAAAAAGAAACCAAATAGATATTCTGTAACTAAAAAGGTTAATAGCTGAAATTTAAAAATTCAGTAGATGGTTAACAGCAGATTAGACCTTTCTAATCTGATAGAACAAAATCAGCAAAGTTAAAATTCAGGCAATTGAAATTACCCAGTCTTAATGGCAATATGGGGTAGAAAATGAAAAAAAAATGAACAGGGCCCAAGGAACCTATGGAATACCATTAAATATGTTAATATATGCCTTATGGGATTCCCAGTAGGAAATGAGCAAGAGAAAGGAGCAGAAAAAAAATAAAGTTTGAAAAAATAATGGTCTCAAATTTCATGAAATATATGAATCTACAAATCCAAGAAACTCTATGAACTCCAGGTAGGATAAATTCAATGAGAGTCATATCAAGATATATTATAATCAAGTTGTTTCAAAAGAAACCTTGAAAGCATCAAGAGAGAAATAACTCATCAAGTATAAAGAATCTTCAATAATTAAAAAAAAAACTATCAATCAAGAATTCTGTATCTGGCAAAAATGAAGAGGATGATCTAAAGGAAAATTTGAAATATTGGTGTTTGAATATAAATGAATTATTGTTCTCTCCCCCAAATAATATGTTGACTTTCAAACTCCCAGTATTTTAGAATGTGATTTTATTTGGGAATGGGGTCTTTACAAAAGAGGTCATTAGGATGGACCCTAATCCAATATGTTTGGTCTCCTTATTAAAAAAGGATATTTGTGGCTGACCACATGCAGAAAAATGAAACAGGACACCTACCTATCACCAAAAAAAAAAAAAGTAAATTTGGACACAAAGATTGACTCACTCACAAAGGGAGGAAAACCTGAAGACACACAGGGAGAAGAAGCTATGTGACAGAGGTGATACATATACATGACAAGGATTGCCAGCAAAAAACAGAAGCTAGAAGAGTCAAGGAAGAATTCCCCACAAGAGAGCTTGGCTCTGCCAACACCATGATTGAGAGTTTGGTTAACTGCAAATCTGGTCAAAGAGAAAGGCTGAATAAGTTATACCAAGAAGCAGGTTGGGTATTAATGGATCATGTAAAGGTTTTTTTCAAGCTGTATGTATGGGACAATATTCTTTTTTTTTTAATTTAAATTTATCTATTTATTATAGAGTTTGGGGTGCAAATGAGGATTTATTACATAAGTAGGCTGCATGCAGGTGAAGTTTGGGTTTTTCCCCCTTGTAGTGGACTTAGGTATACTTTGTGTTGTCACATTTCTCCTACCCTTCTGCCCTCCCTTCCTCCCTCCCCTAAGCAGTGCCCAGCAACTGCTGATTCCACCCTTCTGCTAATCTGATCAGTAATCAGGGCCCACTTATGAGTGAGAACATTTAACAATAATCATAATTACATATTTCTTTGGGAGATTATTTGGAGAGGGAAGGATTTTGGATGGATTGATTTATGTTCAGGTTAGTTTTTGCGTAAGAAAGGTGGTATAGTTTTGGTGTCCAGTGTTTTTACATTTACTTAAGCATACCTACAGCAGGTGTGGCAAATAGATTTTCTTTCATGTGTCAACTCTGTTGATAGTAGCTACTATGTTTAGAAGGATTCTGTGACATAATGTTTGGAAAAATGTGCTGTCCTTTTATTAGTGTCTGCATAAGCATCAGAATGGGTGTCTGCAACATGCATGCCATGTATTAAAGCCAATCCATGTTAACAATTATATGTATAAAAGTTATGTTTTCCTCAACTGGCTTTGGTTCAGAAAATTTCTTTATGAGATATATTTACACTACTTAGGTGAGTCTTGAATTCTATTCAGTTCTAAATTTTTTAAGGAGATTTGGATTCTGGCATTTGCAAAGTAGCCCTTCCTATCTAGGGTACAGCTGTCAAAGCATCATAGGTAGTGTTGCTAATGAATATAGACTAGAATACCAAAACAATGAGGAGTAAAAAAACAGCAAAGCCAGTGTTTTAGTGCCATTTGTTACCTTCAATTTATACTTTGAAGTTTTGGAGATGGGCTATATAAATTACATATCCTATCTAGAATGGAGAAGTATAAAAATTTTTACATTTCTTACTGTGAGAAATTTTCACTGGATAATTTTCTCCTTAATGTTTCCATTATTTTCAAAGCCTATGCTAACATATCATAAAACTTTATTTTCCTGTGTTACATTTGCAATGATACTTGTGAAGTCATTGTTCTCAAGGCACAACCCCACATATACAGATTTTTCCCTTGGCTTTTGGTATGAAAAACAACAATTGAATGGTGTACTAGTATGACTAGTATTTTTCCCATATGATGTAATTTTTAGTTAAAATACAGTAAATGGTTGAAAACTTATGCCTTGCCTGATTTATGGGATATCAGCATAGCTTTTCTCTTTATTTTTGACAGGTTGATGAGAAAGCTCTGAAGCACATAACAGAAATGGGCTTTAGTAAGGAAGCATCAAGGCATGCTCTTATGGATAATGGCAACAACTTGGAAGCAGCATTGAATGTCCTTCTTAACAGCAATAAACAGAAGCCTGTGATGGGTCCACCTCTTAGAGGTATAATTGATTAAGCAATGTGCCAGATGGTATTGTTTGCTTTTCCAAGGAATATATATTGTTGATAGAGGATGGACTTCATTACTGTGAGGGCTTTATTTAACATTACGGTCATTGGAGGGAATACCTGTTTGGGAATTATAAAGACATGTGCAGATTACTCTCAATCTCACTGTCTTCATCTTTATGTAAACTGGGTCTAATAATGCCTTATTTAATGGGATTGATAGGAATAATATAGGAAATAGGATTTCAAGTGACTGGTTCTATTAATTATTTCTGTAAGCTTTAAAATTAACAAGAATATAACTTTTACTTGGTATTATTATTTAATTATTGCATAGTCAAATGTGTTATGTGTTTTTCAAGTTCTAGTCCTAAATTCTTTCATAAAAGCTAGTTAAAGAAAAATCTTATAAAATGAATTTTTTCCCCTTAAAAGATAATTTGCATGAACAAATTTACATTTCTGAGTAGATCATTTAGAAGATTAGAGGTGCTACATATTCATTAATTTTTTTAAGTTATAAAAGATGTAGGTCATACATAAAATTATGATAGTAATAAATACATACAAAATCCTACTTAAAATGATTGCTGATTATATTTTAGTATGTTTTTTCCTTTTGCATATGTAATATCTCTTTCTTGATTATAAATCTTAAGGTAGAGGAAAAGGCAGGGGGCGAATAAGATCTGAAGATGAAGAGGACCTGGGCAATGCAAGGCCATCTGCACCAAGCACATTATTTGACTTCTTGGAATCTAAGATGGGCACTTTGAATGTGGAAGGTAGGCTAGATTAAAATAGATTTCTTTTTTTCAGTAGATTTTCTTTTTAAAGACGAAACTGTATTTGGAATTGTATAAGAAATATTTAATAAAGAAGCTGATAATATCAACCTATATTCTGAGTAATTGTTTATAAATTTATTTAGTTACACATTTCCTGCTTGACAAAAACACAGAAGAAAATTTTTATTGTTCCATTCTAAAAACATAAGTGGCAGCTCTTTTTTCCCTTAACTGTGTGATGGGTGAGTAATATATCAGTAACAAATATAGCTATGTAAACAGTATTGTGCTAAAAAATGTCTTGTTATATAATCTTATATAACTTATTTTGATTGTGAATTTGTTTCTTTTTTCCCTACATACTATATACGGTATGAAAATGTTCACACAGTCAGTGACTATGCCATCACCATGTGATGCATTTTTAATGTATAACTTAGTGATAACATAAATATTGAAAAGAGAAATATATTAAACATGTAGCTTTTTTTCTAAGCATGCACTAGAGTAAATGTTTTCTGGAATAGTAGGTTTTTAAAATATGAATCAAAAGGTTAAGGAAATGTACTTTAAAATTCAGTTTTGACTTTTAGATATATTTTGAATACAACCAAATAAGCTCAGAGGTAAAAATGCTTTTTATAACAAATTTGAATTGTCCAGATTTCATGATAATAGAAGTTTATTTGCTAGATTACATAGAAAAAGCGATGTATCATTTAAGAAAATAAATGTTTGATTTAGGCAAGATTTGTAAGCAGGATGTGTTAGTTTTCTGTTGCTGCATAACATTACCATGAAGTCAGTGGCTTAAAACAATGCAAATATATTATCTCATAGTCTGTGTCAGGAATCCAGGCACAACTCCCAGGGTCTTTGCTTGAAGTTGGCTGGGGACTGCTTTCAGCTCCTAGGAGCTATGCTCAGGTCATCACCACATGGTCCTCTCCATAGGCAATTTACAACATGCTGTTTGCTTCTGCAAGGCCAGCATGAGAATCTCTTCTGTTGCTTCAGATTTCTCTGACTTCTCTCTAACTTTGACTTATTAGTATTTTTGTCTCAATCTCCCCTATATTGTCCCACTGAGAGCTCCTTTGATGTCCTTTCATCCTCCTGTCCCACTACATTTGCTTTTGGCTTCTCTAGTGTCTCCTAATTCATAATGAGGTTAAGACAGAAAATAGTAATTTGTCTATGATCTGTGTGCTTATTATGCTTCAGTTCTCACAGAGTGCAATCTTCTACCGACAAAATGAAGTAATATTGGTATTCCAGATGGAAAAAAGCGTCAAATTTAGTTAAGACACCTGAAATGAGTATTGCACTCAAAACAGAAATTTGTGAACACGTTTGTGACACAATATTGTTTTAGTAGAATGTGTTGTATTTACATCTGTTATATGACACACAGTCAGCTAGCATGTGAAAAAAATAGAGAAATTATAATAGTTTTCTAGACTTTTAAATCTTACAATTAAAATATAGCCTGTAATCTTCATAAATTCCCAAGTGTAAGAAGTTGGAAATATTCATACAGACTCTAACATTTTATCCAAATTCACATGTTCGTGTGATCATGATTGGCACATACTTGATAGTCACTGTTCTCAAAGGACCACAATTTTTGTTCTTTCCTGAACATACTGTGTGGCAAGGCCAGCTAACCAACTTGGGAGATGGGCAGAAGGATTCTTAAAGGTGATAGCATTTAACCAAGTCCCAGGAGGAGCAGTCCAAGCAGAGGGAGTTCTCTGTACCCAGGCAGAGGCATTAGAGCACCAGTTCCTTGTGCTTGGGAGGGTATGGTAGAGACAGGGATCAGGGAGGGCAGTGGAACTTGTAGGCTGGAGCCAGACCACGATTTTGTCGTAAGGAGTTTTAATTCTTTCCTGATGTAATAGAAAACCATGAAAGAGTTTTTGGCATGAGAGCAATAAAGTTTACTTTGGTGTTTCAGGAAAAAGAATTTCTGCCTACAAGATGGGAAATGGAGTAAAATGGGGTTGAGATTGACATCAGACTACAGTGTTATGTGTTGTGAGGAATTATTCATTCTATAAATGCAGTATTTTATTTGGTATTTATTTGTACCAGATCTGTGGTAAATGGGGATACAAAGTATAATAAAATACTTCATTCAAAAAATTCAGAAAAATATATTGATATTGTGGCTCTTGTCCCAAAGCAACTTACTATCTAGTTTGTGAGACAGAGCAAGCCACAAACTAAAGGGACACAGAAGTGTTTATTAGAAAGAACTTCATTATTTATTTAGTGTAAACAGAAACAATACTGAATAAAATACAAGGGCTTAGCAGAAGTTATTTGAATACAGGAATCAGACATGATCTGGCATATTTGGTGGGACTCCCCCAAAACCTGGAATTATCTTTTGGAGAGCAGGCCCCTTGTAGTACACACAGAATTTGTTCCTCTGAATCAAATGGCCAACCAAAGTTTTTATCTTGAATTTTTGAGTAGGTTGTGTCATGATTTGTAGAAGAAATGTTTGAATTGGGACAAATAGGTGACTGGTTCTTCCACCACAACACACTTGCTCACACCACGCTGGTTCAGCAGTTTTTAACCAAAAATGACATGATCTCTGTGACCTATCTTCTCTATTTACCTTATCTCATCCTGAGCAACTTTTTTTGCTTCTCTGTGTGAAAAAAATCCCCAAAGGGAAACGTTTTGCTGATGTGGAAAAAATTAACGAGTTCAAGAACTATTTTGAGCAGTGGGAAAAAGCATCTTGATAGGTATATTGCCCCAAATGGAAAGTACTTTGAAGGTGAGTGAAGTTTAAACATGCAAGAATAGGCCAGGCTTGGTGGCTCAGCCTGTAATCCCAGCACTTTGGGAGGCCAAGGCGAGTGGATTGCTTGAGGCCGTGGGTTCGAGATCCGCCCGGGCAACTTGGTGAGACCTTATCTCTACAATAAATCAAAAACTATCTGGCTATGGTAGCACGTGCCTGTAGTTCTGGCTACTTGGAAGGCTGAGGCGGAAGGATCGCCGGAGCCCAGCAGGTTGAGGCTGCGGTGGCCAGGAGCGGCCACTGCGCTCCAGTCTGGGGAACAGAGTGAGACTCCAACTAAAAATAAATAAATAAATAAATAAATAACATACAAGAATAAATATACAACTTTTTGTAAATAAATTCTGGGTGTTTTTGGGTCCCCCTTGCATAGTAATTAGTCTTTTATTTAAAGTTTTATTGCCAAAATAAAACCCACTAGTTGTTTTGAATAGCTAGAGAATATTTTAATTAGGCAGATTTGATCACATGATTTGGTTTGCTATTTGGTTGTTTTAAATTTATTGTCTAGCACAAATAGCTAGACAATAAATTGATACATGTATAGGTGGAAGATGATTGTGCTTGTAGATGTTTCTTATATTCTTGGGTCTGTTTCCCAAATTGATGGGAAAGGTTGGTGGGCTACCCTCAGGTATCTTTAGCAGATATCATTCTGTTACTCTTTCTTTTGTTTCTCCACTCATACTACTAAGAGCCAATATTTTTAGGTGACCTGGGGTTCATTGTAAAAAAAAAAAAAAGAAAAAGAAAAGACAAAAAAAGAGATGAGACAAACTATTGATTGTTTTCAGCTCATTTTGAGATATCATTTTTTTTTTTTTTCCCTGAAGTTAAAGCTCAGAATAAACTTTTACTTTTGTAAATTTGAATCTCCACTTTGGTCTTTCCTCAGAATGTGGTCATTTTCTGTCAATCTTATTTTCTAAAATTAACTCTTCATTGATAGAAGAAATGTTGGACATTTTTCTAAGCAAAATGTAGAAAACTTTTCAAGATAGAGTTTCATAATGTTTAGTGGTTAAATTTCTTATGGACAACTAATAAAGGATTATGAATTTATAATTTTATTTATGTTTATATTACCAGCATCATTATTTGGATCTGTTACAGACTTAAATTGACATTATAAAGAAGTAATTTTGAGTCAGTAGTGTGTATACTTAGGGTTAAAAAAATTATTTCTAATATAATTGAAAAATCAAACCTTCCTTGCTATGGTTTATATCAGCATAAACTATCTGATAATTGTATTTAGTTTTAGTACTTAGAGAAGTAAAAATTTACTTGAGTAAGCCTTGGCCTTGGTGGACTTATTATGTTATATGAGATTCTGTACAGTAATGTGTCAACCTTGTTGGGAAAAAAATAGATCCCTTAAGGATAGGATTTTTTCCTGACGAACTTACTGGAGCTTAGTTATACATTTATGTTCATATATCATTCTCTCTAAAAGAGCAAAGGGTGATATCATTTCTTAATTCTGATTGTTAAAAATTCCATTAATTGATACATCTTTTCTTTTTCTCTTAGCACTAACTTTTTGTTGTTATATCTTTAAGTTGATCACATCTCATTCTAGTCAACATTTTTATTAACATTCTGAAAAAAAGAAATACAGGGTTACATTTTTTCTTTTGTTACCACAAGAAGGGAAAGGGATATTAAAGCAGATAGATACAACTGGTTCTACCAGTAGACTCACAGCTCTCATATTTACTAATTGTATATCTTTGGGAAAGTTACATAATGTTAAGCCTTAATTTCTTTACCGGGAAATGAAGAGATAGTAACAGTACCTGTTATAGGGTTGTTGGGAAGGTCAAATTAGATCATGTATTTTAAGTGCTCAGCATAGTACTTGGCACATAGGCCTCCATGTACATGGTAGTTCATGCTGTCATCATCATCACGATTAGCAATAGCCAAAGTGACAGCGTCCTCCACCTGTGCATCTGTTGTCTCTACCCTCACTGCCCTGCTTCGGACCCTCACCAGCCCTTCACTGTTCTTTGCAGAACTGTGTCTTTCCATCCTTCATGTTGTGGCCAGCGACCTTTCAAAACACAGATTTGATCTACTCCCTGTTAGGTTAAAATGCTCTGTGACTTTCTCATTGGCAGGATAAGATACAGGCTACAATGTATATATTGTTTTATATGGTGTTGCTTTA